GAGATATATATATATATATATATATATAATTACATGTATCTGCCGCCAGGTAAGCCTGTTCTCGGTTTGTGAATTGCTATAAATGCCATGCTTCCATAGTTGGGAAGCTCAGATACTGCAGAGTTAGGGAGCGTGCTTACATTCACATGAATGTAACCAAAATCTTTAAAGGCTTATTCACACCATGTCTGTACCAGATCTGGATGCGTTTCTGCAAACGTGGTGCAGTGCGATTTTGGCGCTTTAAAAACAAATATTTTTTAGCTTAAAATTGAACTAAAAGGTGCACTCCAGTGTTTGCATGCATTTTTACGCTTTTACATACATTTTGGTGCATTCCAGACCAGGAAAAAAAATAGTGCATGCAGCATTTTGTCCTGCATCGGAATGGACGGCATTGGTGTGAACAGAGCCCAGAAATACCATAGGAATACATTGGGATGCATTTCAGGGTGCGGACAAAAGAAATTCTGGTACGGACGTGGTGTGAACAAGCCCTTAAACCTGATTGGTTAAACAAATTAGCTTGTTTTTGTTGCTGGCAAGCATAAAAGTGTGCTGGGGACCTCTTTTGTATAACGCCCTGCCCATCCGTACTTTTCAGTTTTAGCTACTTGTAAACAGATCTGAGCGGCTGCCATAGTTGCTTTTTTGGAGTTGGTGCAGACACACAATGAAAGCCTTTAGCTGCCCTGTTGAGGTAATATTTTGGCATCTGGTATGCAGCTGTGGAGTTTAGGGGGATGGGGCTGTCTCCAGGTGAGCCTACTCTCCGTTTATGAATTGCTATATGCACTATATTACCAAAAGTATTGGGACGCCTGCCTTTACACTCACATGAACTTTAATGGCATCCCAGTCTTAGTCCGTAGGGTTCACTATTGAGTTGGCCCAGCCTTTGCAGCTATAACCGCTTCAACTCTTCTGGGAAGGCATCCACAAGGTTTAGGAGTGTGTCTATGGGAATGTTTGACCATTCTTCCAGGAGTGCATTTGTGAGGTCAGGTGCTGTTGTTGGACGAGAAGGCCTGGCTCGCAGTCTCCGCTCTAATTCATCCCAAAGGTGTTCTATCGGGTTGAGGTCAGGACTCTGTGCAGGACAGTCAAGTTCCTCCACCCCAAAAACTCGCTCATCCATGTCTTTATGGACCTTGCTTTGTACACTGGTGCACAGTTATGTTGGAACAGGAAGGGGCTATCCCCAAACTGTTCCCACAAAGTTGGGAGCATTAAATTGTCCAAAATGTCTTGATATGCTGATGCCTTAAGAGATCCCTTCTCTGGAACTAAGGGGCAAAGCCCAACCCCCTAAAAACAGCCCCACACCATAATCCCCCTCCACCAAACTTTACACTTGGCACAATGCAGTCAGGCAAGTACCGTTCTCCTGGCAACTGCCAAACCCAGACACACCCATTGGATTGCCAAAGAAGCGTGATACGTCACTCCAGAGAACACGTCTCCACTTCTCTAGAGTCCAGTGGTGGCGTGCTTTACACCATTGCATCTGACGCTTTTCTCTGCACTGGGTGATGTAAGGCTTGGATGCAGCTACTCGGCCATGGAAACCCATTCCATGAAGCTCTCTAGGCACTGTTGTTGTGCCAATCTGAAGGTCACACGAAGTTTGGAGGTCTGTAGATATTGACTCTGCAGACAGTTGACGACTTCTGCCCACTGTGCGCTTCAGCATGCGCTGACCCCGCTCTGTCATTTTACGTGGCCTACCACTTCATGGCAGAGTTGCTGTTGTTCCCAGTTGCTTCCACTTTGTTATAATACCACTGACAGTTGATCGTGGAATATTTAGTAGCAAGGAAATTGCACAGAAAACCTAAATCCAATGATTTGGAGGGTGTCCCAATACTTTTGGTAATATAGTGTATGTTCTATAGTTGGGAAACTCTAACAGTGTAGAGTTAGAGACCACACTTATTAGAGGTGCCATGATGCAGCAGTATTTTATCTAAACAAGATTTTGTGACTTGGTTTTAATATTACGCAGTGAGAAGAGTTTTTGTCCTCTTTATTTGCTTGTAGCACCGAAAAAACATACATTTCCAGGTATCTCAGAGGATGCCCATCAGTTTTTGGAAGGAAGGGGACTGGTTATATAGCAATCTACATCATTACTACTAGGAATGTCCCGATACTGATACTAGCATCGGTATCGGGACCGATACAGGGAATTTGGATAAGTACTTAGGTGGCCGGCGACTGCCTAGAGGACCCCACCTGGAGCGCTGCCCACCGGAGCCGCAATGACGCGACGCTCCTCTTGAGCTCAGCGCTGATGTCCTCACGTGTGAGGAAAATCGTTCGGCACCTTGTGAGGCACCACGATCGAACAGGCACCAGTAAGTGAGGGCCTGGGCTTAAGTGGGAATTTTAGAATTGTTAGTGTGAACAACAAGAATCTATTGCTGCAGTGTATTTGGAATATGTACTGTACATGTACTACATATAGAATACACTGCAGCAATAGATTTAGAATTAGCCCCTGCTAATATGAATAGGTTAAATGATCCAATGTACATAACATGTAGTTGTACTATGGATCATTTAACCTATTCATATTAGCAGGGGATAATTCTAAATCTATTGCTGCAGTGTATTCTATATGAATAGGTTAAATGATCCAATGTACAGAACATGTAGTTGTACTATGGATCATTTAACCTACTCATATTAGCAGGGGATAATTGTAAATCTATTGCTGCAGTGTACTGTATATGTAGTACATATTCCAAATACACTGCAGCAATATATTTACAATTCTGACCTGCTAATATGAATAGGTTAAATGATCCGTAGTACAACTACATGTTATGTACATATGTACTATGGATCATGATTTAACCTATTCATGTTAGCAGGTGATAATTGTAAATCTATTGCTGCAGTGTATTCTATATGTAGTACATATACCAAATACACTGCAGCAATAGATTTACAATTCTCCCCTGCTAACATGAATAGGTTAAATCATTATCCATAGTACAGAACATTTAGTTGTACTATGGATCATTTAACCTATTCATGTTAGCAGGGCAGAATTGTAACTATTACTGCAGTGCACTGGAAGCGTGTACCAGGTTAAATGATCCATAGTACACACTTCCAGTACACTGCAGCAATAGAATTACAATTCTGCCATGAATAGGTTAAATGATCCCAGAGGCAGATGCATGATTGGATTTGTAGTTTCACTATAGCTGTGTGAAAGCAAATACAAATGTTTTATTGTTCTAAAACAGTCCTAAATTAAAGTTCTTCATAATCGTAAAGAAATTGGCCTAAAATCATTAGTCTGTATTGTTTTGTTTTTTTTGTCACCTGTCCCTTTAAGAAAAAGTATCGGTAATTGGTATCGGCAAGTACATGAGGGGAAGTACTTGGTCTTGAAAAAGTGGTATCGGGACATCCCTAATTACTACTAAAAATGTCTGATGGGACGAATATGAGAAAGCCTGAAATCAAGAAAGCTTTTTAATATTATAAATGTAATAGAACATAAGTTACCTCAGTCTCATCTTCCTGCTGGTAATCTTCTAGATCTTGTACTCTGGTATCTGTATTAGAGAATATATTTTGGTCTGTCTGTAGTGAAGAGTAAAAAAGAAAAATATGTAAAATCAGGGTGCAGAGCAGAAAAAAAAATAATGTTATAATGCTGCTTGAGAATAATCGTTTAGCTTTTCGACATACATGTGACTTAAATTGGTGCTTATGCACGACCCTAAAAAATGTAAAACATGGCAGATCAGAAAATATCATAAGGTGCCCGATTGTACCGGTTTGTAACAAAATCTCTGCCAGCCCAGCTCTGACCCACATCACTACCAAAGGGAATGGAGAGAACCATCACCATCATGTGGTGCCTGAATGCTTCATCACCAGGTCTAAGAGGTGTCACGTGAAGGGGTGGCCAAACAGGTTCAGTATTTGCACACTAATTTATACAAGCTCCATTGGTGCAGGTAGCGGGATTTTTCTTACAATAGAAGTATGATCACTGGTACCAGTTACCCATCACTTATTTGACCTTAAAACACCCCCCAAGTACACATTTCCTATAAAAGATTATGGGCTGTCATCCAAATCCTGGTTTCTATACAAAGTCCCTTATATTAAACAAGCATTCAATCTGCAAAAATGTGAACATGCATGCCTCATCCAAGTCCATTCACAAGATAGTGCCACCCAGAAGGATGACCATGCCAAGGGCAGGACCTTCAGTCTGAAACAAATAAAGTGCATGCCCAGCCACAACTTTAAAATGTTGAATACAAGGGGGAAGATTAAACCCCTGTCAGGTTTTTCCTGCCATCTGGGGCTTCATTAGAGAGATTTCACCTCGTTTACTGTGCTGTGGCAATGGTTTCACCAGGAGGGAATTGCAGATGTTCCCTCAACAATAACACAGACTGCAATAAAAATGCTTAGTTGACTTGTGGAAGGCTAGAACCCCAGCCAGCTTTTAATATTTCTACCAGTGTCCCTGTTGCTGATTTTCCCTCACTTCCTGTCTGGTGAAACTCTTGTCACCATGGACGTATGTAAGGGGGAAAATCCTCCGAAGGGGCCCCAGACAGCAAAGAGAAGTTGCAATTAGATAAGCAATGAACAACCTACATAGTACAACCCCAATTCCAAAAAAGGTGCGACACTGTGTAAAAAAAAAAAAAAAAAACCTGACAAAAACAGAATGAAATTATTTGCAAATCGCATAAACCCACATTTTATTCACAATAGAAAACAAAAAACCATACCCAATGTTTAAACTGAGAAAATGTATCATTTTACAAAAAAAATAAGGTAATTTTGAAATTGATGGCAGCAACACTTATCAAAAAAGTTGGGACAGGGCAGCAAAAAACTGGCAAAGTGGTGCCAACAAGGAAGAGCTGGAAGAACATTTTGTAACTGAATTTGGTTAATTGGCAGCAGGTCAGTAACATGATTGGGTATAAAAACAGCATCTTAGAGAGTCAGTGTGTCTCAGATATAAAGCTGGGCAGAGGTTCACCATTCGGAGTCTAAAAATTGTAAAGATATATCATCATCATCTACAGTACATAATACCATCAAAAGATTTTGAGAATCTGGAGAAAACTCTGTCCACAAGGGACAAGGACTAAATGCAATATTGGATGCCCATAATCTACGCATTATTCTGTGATGGACGTCACTACATGGGCTCAAGAATACTTTGAAAAATCACGGTCTGTGTCATCCCAAAAGGAACATTAATGCTCTAGCATGCAAAGAAGAATCCATATCTGAACATGACCCAGAAACGCCGCCGTCTCCTCTGGGCCAAAGCTCATTTAAAATGGTCTGTCACAAAGTGGAAAAAACTGTTCTGTGGTCAGACAAACTGAAATTGGACATTCTTTTTAGCAACCATGGGTGCCACGTCCTCCGAACTAAAAGAGGAGAGGGACCTTCTGGCTTGTTATTAGTGCTCAGTTTAAATGCCTGCATCCCTGATGGTATGGGGGTGCATTAGTGCATATGGAATAGGCAGCTTGCATATCTGGAAAGGCGCCATCAATGCTGAGAGATATATCCACGTTTTAGAGCAGCAAATGCTCCCATGCAGACAGGGAAGGCCTTGCACATTGCAGCAGGACAATGCTAATTTGCATACTGCATCTATGACAAAAGCATGGCTTTGTAGCAGAAGAGTCCGGGAGTCCAGCACATTCTCATACAGGCAGAGCTCCATACTGAAAAAAAAAAAAAAAAACAAAACACTTTTTGTACAGAGTTTACGTTAGGAGAGATGAGGAAGGACGGCTGGACAAGAATAAGGACAGCATCTAACCAGAGGAGGACGGCCGGACGCTGTAGGACCTGATTTAATGCAGTTTGAAGTCCACCCGTCCTTCCCCATCTCTCTTAAACTCCGTACCTCAGTACGTAGCTTTGCCTGTATGAGAATGTGCTGAAGCCTGAGCTCTGCAGCCTTGATCAAATGATCACCATTGCAATGCTTGTCAGGTTTGAATGCAAAAATGAAAGAAATGCCTATTTTTTTTATACCATTAAATATGCATTTGTTTTATTTTTGCAAAAGGTGAACTTATCCTTTAATATGGTACATTTTCTCAATTTAAACATTTGATATGTTTGCAAGATGAGATTTGCAAATCATTGCATTCTGTTTGTATGTAGATTTTACACAGTGCCCCAACTTTTTCTGAATTGGAGATGTACTTTCCAAAAAGTCTATGTTTTTTTCTTTCAGCAGGGATGCTTGCTGTAGAAGGAAAAGGAAGAAGCAAAGTGTGGATATGTGTTCAGTCATGTGCATTTCACGTACCTTTACTATTAACAAAAATATATCTTATTTGTGTATCACTCGGCTGTAGATAATCAAATCTTCCCTGAATTTGTGCCGACACTGTCCTTCCTTCTGGAGAGTGACTACTTTTGTTCTCCATGGTCCCTGTGTGTGTTGTAGAGTGGACACTGATCCAAGATCCCTCCCATAATGGTCTTTAATCTCATGCTTAGTTTACTAATTTGCATTTAGAATATAGTCCATCACAGGAGTGAGCTTGGAGCGGTGACTACTTTACAACACACACAGGGAACCATGGGGAACAAAAGTAGCCACCCTCCAGAAGGAAGGACAGTGTCAACCATAGATCTTCAAATCATCTCTAAATTTGTGCTGAGTGATACACAGAGATATATTTTTGTTAGAGGTACTTGAATGCATTTTTAAGATTTAACTCCTGAGTTTAGGTTCACTTTAAAGTCTTTCAAACACTTACAAAAAATGTACTTCATTTTAGTAGCTAGTAGTAATTTTTTGTTGTAGATGTTGTTGGATGTTGTTGATGTTGTTGATGTTGTGAATAATAACAGCTGCTAACTTTTTTTGTCACTCGCTTCTGCTGTGATCACAGCGAGCACACAGCAGTGCATTGTTCCCGTTTCCTTGATTTTGCTAGCTCAGCCTGATAGCACACTCATTTCATGCTTGGTAACCCAAGAAGTCTAGTAACGAGCAGCTCATATCTTGTTTACAAAGCTGCTCTATGTCATTGATTTGCTGTGAGACAAGTCTAGGTTCTCAACAACACACTTCATTAATGCTGAACTCCAGGCAGCTATAAAAAGGTAAAAACTAATGCAGCTCTGTGAGCATTAATGCAATACAGCACAAGAAGCTAATCAGATTTGTTGCAGTGCAGGGAGCATATTGATAGATGTGACCGAAAGAGGAGCTTCTCCTTTTACTGGTTAGTCACAGGCTGGGGGTGTGGAGGAGGTCTGCAATGGAAAGGGAGACTGCGGCAGGGGGGAAAAACACAAAAACAAAAAACAGATCCCCTCCCCGACAGGTCTGTGCTGTGTGGCACAGCTGTGTAACTTTAAGGATTGGATGGGCAAATATACAAATACTTTGGCACCTCCACCATATATATTTGATGTGCGTATTTAGCCGTTTGCCTGGAGCTCAGTTTAAATTAAAGTAACTAAAGTTATACTGCCAGTGTTTCTAGCAGGATGTCTTATACCAGCAGTCTTTGTTCTGTTCAGGGTAAAAATTAAAGGATGAGCATGACTGGAGGCAAACACAGACACTTGGCATTCTTTGTGCTTAGATAAAATGTTCCTACGTACTTTGTTTTCGGTTTTAGAGGGAAAGTGTGTTATCAAGGAGTTTGCATTTTGTTTAATGTTAAAGCTTACCTGGAAGTCATTTTCAGGGTTCATGCATATGGGCGTACAGTGTACTGCATTTAAATCCATAATTTATACAGATCAGAGCGCAGAAGTATTGTATGGTATGGGCCCGTTCACAATGCTCCCTTTTGGTCTGTATCACTTAGCTGTGTAAACCAAGGTAGCCAAACCCCGGCCCTCCAGCTGTGGTGGAACTATAAATCCCATGAGGCATTGCAAGATTCTCACAGCCACGACTCCCGGAGGGAGAGGCATCATGGGATTTGTATTTTCATCAAAGCTGGAGGGCCAGAGTTTGGCTACCCCTGGTGTAAACCAACACATAGATAAATTTGCTTTCATTGCCTGATTTTGGACTTTTTTTTACACTGTACGCATGTATAGAAAATAGTAAGTAAAATATAGTAAATAGACCATAGGCACTCCTGCTTAGTAAATGCAGGGCCGACATGTAAACTTCAGCAATGTGTAGGCAGCGGTACAGGTACAGAATAACCTCAACCTCGTGTCATTCAGAATGGCTGAAGGCCGAGGTCATTCCGTGTTGCCTGCACATAATAGACTTATTCAGAGGGAGATGTAGACATTAGTGTGTAATCAGAGGTGCGGACGCAGCAATTACTCCTCAACGCATATGCACATAATCGAATGTGCATATAGGTTCAGACTTTTATGCAGGACCTTCCTGGCAGCAAACTCATGTGTGAATGAATACAGCCATGTGCAGGAAGCCTTAGTGTAGCCATGTTGTCAAGATTACATTTCATATAGTCATGTGAAAAAGGAAGTACATCCTCTTTGAATTCAATGGTTTTAAGCATTAAATGTTGTCCAAGATGAGATTTAAAATGCCAGTAAAATAAAAGTTGTGAGTTATAAAAAAAAAAAAAAGATATTTCCAACTACATAACTATTTTGGGTTCCATGGCGTCCCAAGGAATTATTAGGCATGAAGAGTTTATAAATTGTATTAGTAAAATGTTCCTGTTAAAAAATAAATAAAAATCACAGGTTTGTACAAATAAATGCAAATGTAAATAGTACAACAGTATTCAAAGGCAAATTCAAACCTTCTGTTGCCAGCTGATACATATCAGCCGGGATTCCTATAAGTATTAATACTTTTCTGAATGCAACTGAAGAATACATCCAGGAAGTGAAGCTGACTTAACCACTTACTGTTGGAATGTCTTGTGCTGGCTCTGTCTGAGATGGGCCATTGCCAGCTCTGTGGCTGCTCGGATTATATGGAAATGGGGGGACAATAGTCACATCTGGGTAGGACATAGGCCCCAGTGCCAAAACAAGCTGTACTAGTTCTTCTTTTTCACGACATAGGTCAGTGGGTATGTCTCTCATGGACAAATAATCTCGAAGATCTTTTACTTTTAGCTTTAATAACTCATCCCGGGTAAAGGAAGTAGAACGTATCCTCCGGCACACCTGACAGAGAGGTAGGCCATCATTTAGTTGCTGTAGACATGATCCACAGAAAGTATTCCTGCAATCCATGCATGGAGTCTGTCAAGAAGAAAAAAAGAAGAACGATACTGGTTAACATAAAGCAAGCAGCAGTGTTCAAAGCCACACACTTTAATACACATCACTGTGATAAATTATGGAGCAGAGTGAACTACATGATTGGTTAATACTACACTTTAATACAGTATAAAATAGGCCACAC